CGCGTTAATAATATTGAATTTAATATTAAATATATTTTTTTCCTTATCCTTCTAATCTTTACCTTCATTATTTTTTCCTTTTCACTATCTTTGTTTCCTTTTTACTTTCCTCAAATAATAATAATAAATTTTTAAAAATTAATAAAAATTATATAAAATCTAATTTTTCTTTTTTTCTTGCTCAAACTACAATTATTCTATTTAATAATATCATGTCTATTTAAATTTGAAACATTTCTTGTTGACTTGCACGATTATAAAAGAACTATCTGATCTTGTAGAGCTAATTGAACTGAATACTTTGGTATACTTTGTTTCAAAAAAAGTCTAAAAATAACGGCGATAGGGCTAAAATACCGAAAAGCCTAAAGTATTTTTAATAAGAAGCCAGTTTTAGTATTTTCGCTATAAAAACTATTTTTACTTATGAATTTTAACTTTGCTTTATACTAACATGATCAGTAAAACGAGCTCTGCAAAACTAGATGAAAACAAAAAATGTTGGATACTTTGTGTTTTTTTGGTTGAGTTCCCATGGAACAGCCCATATAAGTGTTCATGGCATTCAGAAGAACAAGCTTCAGACGGTCCATGATCAGCAATTTTTCGTAGCTGTTTACGTTTACCTGAAAACATGCGTTGGGCAATTTTTATATGAATTTCTTTCAATTTTTTCGTAATTCATCTCTGCAATTGATCGATTGTCTTAGCTTCCCAGCCTTTATCATATACCATATCCGTCAGTATAGACCAAAGAGTTTCGATCGGGCGTGCGTGAGGACAATTTTAAGGATTAAATTCTTTATGTATGAGTTACACGCCGTTTTCATTCAAATACTGCGTGACATTGTGACCATAATGATTTGAAGCTAAATCTGGCCAAAACAATAGCTCTTCTTTTTTATGATGGCTTGTAATAAATGGCATTAAGCGTTATGCAACACATTTATCCAAATAAGTTATTTCATTAACAGTTTGTTTTTGTTTTGAAAAAACGGTTTCGAAATTCCATTCTCAGATATTGCAATTCAAACTAATATTTTCCGTTTAAATTTCTGAGTTCTTTAAAATTTGATTTGTGGTGGTGTAGTACGTTTATCAGAAGTGCACAATCCACGGTTAGTTGGTACAAATTGATCTCGTAATAAAAAATATTTTTTATCATGCATTAGTAATTCAAAATCGTTGTTTGACAATATGCGATATAATCGACGTGCATGAGTCGGTATTTCTTGGAGCTGCTGATCCGTATATTTTGGTGCTCGTTGTTTTTTATAATAATGGGTGCCCATTGGTTTCAAATGATTAGAGATTGTTTGATAACTAACTTTAAATTGTGGCGCTAATCGCCTCAGAGAAATGCCTGCTTTTTATTAACAAGACGTTTGAGTCTTGTTAATTTTCCACGAGACAATTTCTTTGGACTACCTGATCTTGGTTTATCACCAACATAGCCAGAATCTTCGTACTTGTTAATGATACTATATATGGTTTGACGAGGAGCTTTTTCTTGTAAAAAATGTTTTACTGTAATTTGGTTTTGTTTGTTTGTTATGTTGATGTAGTGTTGTAGAATCCGCTTTTGCATATGTTCTCGATTGATACGTGTCATTTAGAGGAAAACAGCGTACTTGATAATATATTTCACATACAATGAACACTATCAGTGCTCTATCAGTTGGTGTGCAAAAGGGATAAAAATAACCAATAAAGCTCGAGCAGTATGTATGACTAGTTTGTACGAAGACTTTTTTGACATAGGTTAGTATGCACTTTTGTTCAGTATCCACTGACAGTTCGAATGATGCATGAAAGTTCGAGAAAGGATATTGAGAAAAAAGACGTGTCGATTCTTGGAGGCAACACTGTGGTAACATATTGATGGAGACGTCTTGAGGCTCCTCAAATGTGAAGGTTGTGCTTTTTGTCACTCGAACTTACATGAATAAAGTCGGATTTGAATGCGGAATCTATCATGATTTTATCCAGATACCTCGTTAATGTAGCGTCTTTTGAGACTAAAGTGTGCAACTCGCAGGCCGGGTGTTGCAAAATTTTTGCGACATTCTTTATTTTTCATATAACCCGACTTGCCCAAGTGAGCAAAAGGCTGGCTAGTATTTATTCTAGTCAAGTCGACTCGTCCCGTCTAGTCTTTGTCTCAAAATCTACTCGTTCACGACTAGTCCGGGTTTTTGACCCTCATGCACATGCGTCCTAGTACTCTGAATGACGACTAGTCATAAAATCTAATAAGAGTAGTCGTAACTAGTGCCCCTGTCGCCCGTCCAAAAATGGTTTATGAATGAAAAATTAAGGGCGTCTGGGACGAGTATACAACCAACTGTGCCTTATATAGTGGACGAGTCTGGACTAGTCTGAATGAAAATATGTAAGGATGAAGATTAGATTCGAACATGTATACAATGGGACACGTACCCATCACCAGAACCATTGAGCCATACAATCGAGAAGTCATATTCTACACACTCATGATCATTCTAAGATGCTATTTAATACAATTTTTACTCTAAATTTTTAATTTTCTGTATCAATAAAAAGTATCTTTTATCGAAACGCGATTACTTTAGATAAAATCAAATAAAAATAAATTAAGAAGATTTTATAATCTTTTCGACAAATATATTTTGATTATAAGCTAGTGGGATTAATTTATTGGGTTTAAAAATATTAATTTGAGTATAAAATTTAAAAAAATATTTGTATGTAATAGAAACTAATTTTTTTCGGCGCTAGGACAGATTGTCGCAAGACAAATCGTCGCGGACCAATCGTCGCGGACAAATCGTCGCATGGACAAATCGTTGCAGGACAAAACGTCGCGGACAAAATGTCGCGGACATAATGTCGCAGACAAATCGTTACGGACAAGTCGTTGCATGGACAAATCGTTGCATGGACAAATCGTTGCAATATATCTATTTATCAAAAATGAAGTGCTACTCAATATGAGGTATTCAAAGAATTAGAAAAAATTCCTAGTTAATCTTTGGAAATACGATTGATGCTTAAATCTCTAGATTAATAGCTATTTTAGTTTTATTTTACAATTCATTTTTTTAAATTTATTTATTATTTAGAATTGAAGAACAGAGAAAATAATATTAATACTATATCTACAACAAAAAAATTGACAAAAAAAATTCAAATTATTATATTGGCACTAATATTGTTTAAATATTGGTTAAGTTCATTTTTATTGTACATATTAACTACACGTATCATTCTTTCATTAAGTTTTCGATAAACTAATTTTTTGAGTTGTGGTTGATGCCCTTGAAGCATTTGTTGAATATCAATTTCAAACTTTGACTGCTCTCGACGAATTTTATCAGCAAGTTTTGCAGTTGAAGGATGAGCCATCGATACACGATTAGCGAATGCGCAATGCCACGCTTCGACTGAATTGTTAGATCGAGGAAGGTTGTTAATGACACGTTCGTATACATTCCATAGCTCATAATTAAATATTGGCTTCTTTCTGCCAGTTCCTATGAAAGTAAATACTGAATAAAGCATATTTAGAAAAAAATACTCACCTCGTTTTTTCCTTTGTCCGATCCAAGTTTTTTCAAAGTATTCAACGATGTTATCCGCATCGTCTTCGAAATCATCAGCAACAATATCAAATGCTTCAGCAACGTTGTCAGTTGGAACGAAAGGTAAAGAAAGCAACTTCCTGACATTCAAGCGGAAGTATTCATCTTCCTGGTATTTCTTGGACAATCCATTGTCTTGGATATGTCGCCAAACACACTGTCCGAAATGGAAAAGGCAACCTAAAGTATAAATAATTATCATTAAAATAGGCTCTAGAATTGGTTTACCTCTGTGTACAGCATTAGGAAAAACTTCTTTAATTGTTTTGATAGTGCCTGATTCAAAATCACTAAGTATTGATTCAGGTTCAAAATCATCTTCATCCAATATTTTCTGAAAATTTTTTTTATAATCAGATGCTTTTTTCCCGATTAATAAACCATAAACAAGTGGAACGATGACTGATTTCAACAATGCATGCAATGTAAACAGTTGATAAAATTCTTCTGGACACACCTACGAAAAAATATTACCAATTATAATGTGACAAAGCAAGATTTTTGTATTCAAACCTTAAATGTGCCATCAACAAACCAATGCTTGCAACTTTTCAATAAGGATAAATTTGTTTTCGTCGTAAAAATAATCATTTCGTCATCTTCAAACAATATAAATTCTTCTCCACGATCTGTTTTTCTTAAATGGTCAGGTAAGCGACTACTTGGATCTAAACACGGTGTCGAGCGTTGCCGTCGAATAGTTCTCATTAATGAATCAGACTTTGGTAAACTACCAACTGCAGTTAAAGGCATAAGCCGTAATTCAGAATGTAAAATAGAACTTGAAGCTTCGTTGGATGCCATTGCTTTAATTTTTATTTGACTCTTTAGTTCAAATGCTGGAATACATTCTGGATCTGGTGCATGAGAATGTACTGTTGGCTCAGAGAGAAATGAATCCATAGAAAGACTTGTGTGACATCGTGCTGAAAAATATCGAGATTATAGAAATGAGTAACGCAATACTCGTAAAAATTATTCACCTTTGCAATCACGGTTTCGACATCGAAAAATGCATTTTGTTGTTGTTGTCCGTTCCAGTGTATAAAAAAATCCACCGTGTACTACCATCTGCTTTCCTCTTTGTGAGAACAGCTTCTCAATACCCGACATAATATTTTCTCAAATAGCAATGTGAATTTAGTGTATGTTGAAAGAGAAATGAGTATATAAAGCAGCACTTTTTATACATTATATAGTGTTCCAATTAAGCTTCTTATTTAATTAGAATTCTAATTAGATGAGCGCATTTATCTTATAAAATGGAAAAAAAATTCACCGCAAGAAATATACTATGTTTTATCTCTAATGAGCTTAATAAGACTCGGTCAATAATATATCAATTCAATTTTTTCAAAAAGAGAACAATTAATTTATTATATTATTTTTGATTGATTTGCATTACAAAATTTGAATTCATCCTCTGAATAAACATTTGTAACAATATGCAATATTGCAACATTTTGTCCATGCGACGTTTTGTCCATGCAACAATTTGTCCATGCGACGATTTGTCCATGCAACGATTTGTCCACGCGACAACTTTTTCGCAACGATTTGTCCGCGACATTTTGTCCGCAACGTTTTGTCCGCAACGTTTTGTCCACGACGTTTTGTCCTGCAACGATTTGTCCTGCGACGATTTGTCCATGCGACGTTTTGTCCGCAACGGATTGTCCGCAACGTTTTGTCTCGCGACGATCTGTCCGGTCACCTTTTTTCATATTAGTTTTTAGTTTAGTTTTAAATTTTAATCGCTGTATAGTCATCTAATAATTAAATTATCTTTGTTATATTTTAAATTATTCGAATTGATATTTCAAATAAACTAACATAATATTATTATATGAAAAGATTTAGATGCTTCTCAATTTTTTTAAATTTAGTACGCCTCACACTTAAAAAAGTTACCACTCCTTGATGCGAAATGAATATTTTTCTCAGTAATAACTCCTTCTATTTTATGTTTCGATATAACACTCTTAGGTTTAACATATACTTATACACAATAAAATATATCACGATAGGCATATCCGGAATAACTTGCATCTTTTTGACCGCACTATTGGTTAGACCAGACTTTTTGCAGGTTCTTCTAGTTAGGAAAACTTCGCTAAGCATTAAGTGAAATAAACTCTTCTTAAAAAAGACTAGCCATGACGTGCCCAGCAGACGCTTTAGACTAGTCCTAACCATAGATGGAACCGGTCCGGCCGGTCCGGGCGAAGGTTTCAGACCGGCCGGTCTGCGCAATTTTTTAGTCATATTTCTATAGAACATCAAATATTTGGTCTGTAGATGACGTAAACAAGGACAGTTAAGGTTTTCATGTGGATAATATAAAATTCTAATCTTAAATTGTAAATGATATTATACAAAATTTGTGTTATTTTAATTCTATAAGACTATGCAGCAGTTGCATAGTCTTATAGAGTATGTGAAAGGCGATACTCTAATATTTGAAGTATGAGTTATACTTTCAAAACTACATTTATACTGTTTTCGACAATTCAAACTCAAAGGGGGAAAATCGTATTTCTGTATTTTCATATTTCTATCTATTTCGAAAGTATTTCTAAGTGTTTTTACGAATTTCTATGTATTTCCAATTTATTTTTACATATTACTGTATTTCTGAAATACATATAAATACATACAAATACGTAGAAATACTGAAATTTGGTCAAACTACATGAAAAGACCCGCCGGTTTTTTGCCAGTTTTAGCATTAATATAGATCGGCCGGTTTTTTCCAGTTTTAGCATTATTATAGACCGGCCGGTAACTGGCCGGTCCGGTTCGGGTAGAAAAAACTCGACCGATTCCATCTATGGTCCTAACAACTGTTGAAGAAATTTTAGGCTAAGCAATACCGTTTAAGTCGACTTATTTCTGATTTTCTTTGCATGGATGGGAGTCAATATATAAGTTTAGACTATATATACTTAGGGCAATCTATCTCAGTGTCCTAGTCTGCCGTCAGGATGTCCGTCCTATTTTGAACGCTATCGGACTGGATGTTCAAATCCACCGTGTAACCTCTTTTTTAATCTTCTTACTAGTCTGGGCTGGGTCAACAGAAAACACGGACTAGACATGACTGCGCTCAAGGACATTGCAGGCTATTACAGACGTGTTTGTAAGACAGTCCTCATTAAGCTGACTAGGCAAGACTGGTATGCAAGACGTATCAGACTAGACTTGACGGAAGCTGTGGAGATTCCTGACTAGTCATGTCGGCAGTCTCCCTTCGTTTTTCGCATACTTGGGTGCGAATATGATAAAATCTTGATTATTTTTTTCAAAAGATGCGCCATGAAAAGCTCTACAAAACCTGTATAAATAAATTCTTCTTGACTTTTCCTGATACTTTATCCATACTTAGTGTGAGCAACCCACTTAGTAGTGCTACTTCCCAGCGGAGTGAGCATAATAAAAATGTTTGGGACACTTTTTGTGTGGTAATAGGGATTTGTTCACACAGCTAGCGTAGAGCTTTTAACGGTGCATCTTTCAAAACTAAAACCAGAATGTTGTTGTTTTCTCAAGTCGAAATATATGGAAAACAAAAGCGCCTTTTAAACATTTCTATTATGGTGGAAAGGAGCACCATCATGTACGTTGTTTATTTTGGGTATGGGAAAAGCCATCAGAGCCAAACAATCGAGATTTGTTTGCACAATTTTAGTAGAGCTTTTTACCCCCTTTTTTTGAAAATAGAATCAAGATTTTATTATTTTCTCGAGCCGAGATATATGAAAAATAAAGAATGCCGCAAAACTTTTGCAACACCAGATATATACCTTATACTTACATTACTAGTGAAAAATAGCTCAAGTGGAAAATCAACTTTAATTTCCTTAATTTATGCTAGAGCATGATCTATTGGATTATGTTTATAATTGAAGATAACTTGTTAGCTGGTACCTTCAAAGGTGGTAGAGGCTAGTTGCTGTGTCTGCAATGGATAGGCCTTGCATGTTTTGTATAATCTGTAATGAAAAGAAGAAATAGCGGTCTGATCAGCGTAGGCTCTAATTAGCATTACTTTAAATACGCCAACGTCTGTAAGATGTAGGGGCAGGGCTTTGACAGTCGTAAAAATCTCGCTTTTAATTTTGTTCTCACAATTTTTGTAGAAAATATAGGTGAGTTCTACAAAACTAAAATGTTATTCCCGAATACTATTCGGATTTTGGCTCAATCTGCCTGACAATATAAGTTTTTCATATATTCCTTCACGGTTTGCATAAATACTTATTCGATTTTCAATAGGGGTGTCAATTTACAGTTTATTTTATTAAAAATTAACTTCGAGAAAAATTAATTTAAATTTAAATTTTATTAAAATTCTGAAAATTTAAATTTGAATCTAAATTTTAAATTTAATAAATGGTTTGGATGGATACACATCATTACTATGAGAAAAATACGTGACTTTAACAGTAGTAAATATTAAATGAGAGGAGAACCCAGTATTTTAGGTTAATTTTTGCTCATAATAGTCAAAATTTCTGTACAGATTATGCAGTATCCATCACCTTTCTTTTTCAAAATACCGGGATACTCATAAAAATATATTTAATAGCACAATTTGTAGAAGAATGAATAGCTTTAACTTTAGAAAAGCTTGTTAGCGCAGCCCCATTGAGGCTAAAATGTGGAACTCACATATATCCCTTAGGCTTACTAAAATAGTTCAAAATAGTCCATCTGAAAAATCTACCTTGATTTCCAAAACCTATAATTAGGTCATTGCCTATTTGCTTATGTCTGCAATGGAATATTAATTGTTAGCTCGTATATTTAACAATGACAGAGGCTACACTCTAAAAAAAATCGGTACTCTACCAAACCTTAATAGTTCCGCTTTTCTCTACCGAACGATTTTAAGTTCCGTAGAGTGAAAAACGTTCCGCGTCTCCTTTCAGAGCTATTTTAAGTTCAGCAGATTTCATCAGGTTTCGCAATTTTCCCCTGAACTCTTCGAAGGTTCCGTAAAGTGGTTTCTGGTTTCGTACGTCATGTACAAATCCTCTGATAGTTTTGGGAAATGGCAGAAGGTTTCGTCATATACCCACAGAACCACTGTTGGCTTCGTGGACGAACCGAAGGTTACGTATTATTTGTGCGGAACTTTTCCACACTTGCTACACTGTAAAAAAAATTCGTAGAATAATCAACCCAAAAAGGGTTGATGAAAGTGCAACGTATAGTAAACCCTTTTTACCGTATGGAAAATTCTCCTAAATCCTTTTTTAGGATTTATTAAAGGGTTTATGAAATTCCTAAACCCCTTCATATACCCTTTCAAAGGGTTTAGGAAAGGGTTTAGGAAGTTCATAAACCCTTTAAGGGTTTATTATACGTTGCACTTTCATCAACCCTTTTATGGGTTTAGGAAAATCATAAACCATCTGATACCCTTACTAAGGGTATATGAAAGGGTTTAGGAAACCAATAAACCCTTTAATAAACCCTGAAAAAGGGTTTATGAAGGCCATCAAGTACGGATAGAATTCAGCTAAGGGTTTATGAAATGCTCATAAACCCATACAGGGGTATAGCCAAGGGTTTAGCACATACTCATAAACCCATAAAAGGGTTTAAGGAAGAGTTTAGGAGATCAATAAACCCTTTCATATACCCTTCCAAAGGGTTTAGGAAATCAATAGGCCCTTCCAAAGGGTATATGAAAGGGTTTAGGAAATCAATATACCCTGTCATATACCCTTTGGAAGGGTGTAGGAAAGTAAGAAACTCAACCCTGAACCATTTGGAACGGTTCCAGAAAGGGTTCACGTTTCCCCAAAACCCCTTCATACACCGTTCCAAATGGTTCAGGATTGAGTTTCTTCCTTTCCTAAACACTTATAACGGTTTATGTTAGTGCAAAGCACAATAAACCTTTTCACGGTTTATTATTTTCCTAAACCCTTCCAAAAAGCACATGAAAGGGCATATTGATTTCATAATCCCTTTCAAATGCATTTAAGAAGGGTTAGGAAATACTTACCATTGTATATATTGATCGAGACGCTCTAAATAAAAGAATAATAATTTTATATTAAAAGTTATACCTACCGTTATTGAACCAATCGCTCGCCGATATCTAAATAAAAGAAAAAATTATTTAATATAAATATTATACTTACTGTTGTTGAGCCAAACGTTCGACCATATCTAAATTTAAAAAAATTCACCTGACTTTAAGATTTCACTTGACTTGGCTTCAGTTCGTAGAAAATCTTTTCATGGAGCTAAATCAAGTCACGTTAAGTGATATGAAAAATTTATTCGATCAACTTAAACAAGTCATGTCAGATCGGAAAACATTTCTATATCACTTAACGTCATTTAACTTGATGAAAAAATTTTCTACCAAGTCAAGTTAAGTCAAGTGATATCGAAACGTTTTTCTATCTCACTTGACTTGATTTGACTTAACTTGGTAGAAAAATTTTTCACCAAGTTAAATGAAGTTAAGTGATATGAGAAATTTATTCGATAAACTTAAACAAGTCAAGTCAGATCGAAAAAAATGCGATAACACTGAACTTGGCTTGACTTGGTAGAAAATTTTTTCATGAAGTTAAATCAAGTGAAGTTAAGTGATATGAAAAAATTTTCCGATCTGACTTTACTTGAATATTAAACTGTTTTCGTGCAAGGGCAAAACAAGAAAACCTTGACCGCAGAATAATAAACCCTTTTTATGAAAACGTACAACAATAAACCCTGAACCGTACAATAATAAACCCTTTTTATG